TGCTATTTGAACTGAGTAGCTAATTCCTCAATGTTTTTACATGAAAAAGGATAACTCGTAACTGATGTTGTATTTGCCAATTTACTGCAATCATAAAAACGCATTTCGAATTGTCCCAAAATATTTGATAATTCAGCCTCATACGTATCATAATTCAACTGAGGAATCCATGCTTTCAAAGACGGAAAATGTTTCAGATCCTTTCTTTTCAGTTGATCTATCTTTTATATAAGTTGCAATTTACTTTTGAATGCGGTTATTGCGCTTATCATCTCAATAATAGTTTTTCCTGTACCTTGAAGCTCCAAGTTAATGGTGTTTAAGTGCATTGTGATGTCAGTCAAAAATGCCAAATCAGTCAGCCATTTTTCTTTTTTCAACATCTGAGTGTCATCACCTTTTTCGTCTAGACAAGGTGTTATTTCGGGCAATAATTTTTGAAACCTTTCTAGGAATTTTCCGTGACTCAACCACTTGACGTCCGTGTGAAGAACTAAATCAGTGTGTTCAGCTGACTCCCTATCTTCCAACTGCAACTTAAAGAGCCGCCGTTGCAAGCTACGTGCATGGATGGAATTCACAATTTTTGTTGCAATGCCCATAATTGTCTCCGTGTTTAAAACTTTTGAACACTTTTGAATTGTCTGTCATATCGGTGGATTCGTCGAACTGTAAAGAAAAGTTTGTACATTCCATGATATCATGTTTTAGTTTATCTGCCATGTCCTAACTCATGACTTCAATACGCCTTGTGACAGTCGGACGAGATAACTGAAGTTCTCTAATATCAGACATAATTTCTGTTTTATTTTTAAAATCGCCAAGTAAAGTCTCTCCCGCTTCAATAAACGCTTCCTTCACAACCGATCCATCTTCGAATGGTTTCTTGTGTTTTGTCAATATATGAGATATTTTAAATGACGCGATCGTAGCAGCTTTTGATTGTTTGGCTGGTCTTGTGAACATGGTTTGTTCTTTTTTCAAAAAAGATATCAAATCACGTACTTTTCGTTTCCTTAATTCACTTTGTGGCGGAAAATCCTTTTCATAGTTTTTATGAACCGTTTTATGATGCCACTCTAAGTTACCACGCTTAGGTATTGCAACTGACGCACGACAAATAACACAAATGCACTTATCCTTCACCATACAAAAGACAAATTCTTCCTCCCAATCGTTATTAAAATGCTTAGACGGGACGGGACTTTAAACGTTTTAGATTTCTTCGCTGCACTCATTTTGTACTATTTAATAATAAACTTTGTATCGACGTAGTATTGCCTTCAAGTTACAATTCAGAATGACTCCAAATCCTGTAGGCGCAACATTTATATCGGCGTGAACGAAAGTCTCGACTGTACCCGTTAAACGCGCCGCCCGAAATTTCTAGAAAAGCGGCAAGAATAAAAAACGCGGCTTTTCTTTGACAAGTACCGCGCGTTCCTTTGATAAAGCCACCTTTTGCCGTTAGCAGTGTGTTTGTTATTTTATTACGTAATATTTTTTTGTAGTTTAGTTATTTAAATAAGTAGGTACTTAAAAGTACCTAAGTAATAAGTAGGTACTTAAAAGTACCGAGTAACTGCGGGTTACTTTGACCTTAAATGTGCACTTTTTTTTCAAATAAAATTGTAGCTTCTCTTTGTGATGAATATGTCACGTTTATATCTTGCCATTGTGAACTTTAAAGTATAAGTTACAAAGTTATCATACGAAAATAGGAAAAAATAATATTTAAGGCACGGACCTGAAAAAAAGACGGACGTAACCTCGTCTTATCTCGAGTGAAGCATGCAAATGGCCGCCCGCTTACAGTGTGTGCGTGATTTCAGGGTTGTCGGGTAAATCATCAATTTCCCTACTTTTTAAATCTCCCAAACTAAAACATTGTTAACATTATGTAATCAAATATATATTATAAAAACAGGATATTTACCACGTGTTTTACTCGTTGTGAGCTCCTGATTTTTCAGCAATTTAAACGGTCTATCAAATTATTTTTAGGAACACCGAGATAGAAAAGAAAGCACTTGTTATGTAAAAAGAAACTTTATTGTTTACATATAAATGTTAGTGTCTTAATATTATGTATGAGGTTAATAACATACATTAATATACATAAATCGCGCAGATTAATGCTTAAAATAAAAATATAATAGACTAATATTGCTATTTCTTCTTTCAAATGTAAGTATTTCATTCATAGATTGAGTAGGTATTTAAAGACTGACAGAGTGAGGAAAAGAAATATCATGCCAATCCTATAACGTAGAAAGAGACGCAACATGATGTACCTTTCGTCTAATAATATATTTTTAGCAAGAGCCGCAGCGCCCTGTCAAGTCGTACTGAGATAAAATTTATTATGAAATTCTGTGAAACTAACTCGACACTTTTATAGATATTTTTTTGGAACAGTAGCGATAGGTACTCTGTCTATCTTTACATCCTATATCTATGGTTTACCTACAATGCGAAGAAATGGCACTACCGTGCAGCCTAAGAAATACAAGAAGAAATTCGTCATGATCATTAAGTTCTCGGTAGCATAGCAATTAGTGCATCCACCCAGACAGCAGAAAATGAAGGTTCAAGTCCTGCCTGTAATTCATCACACTAATATTATAAATGCGAAAGTTTGTGAGTATGTGAGTGTGTATGTTTGTTACTTCTTCACGTCTAAACGGCTGGAGCGATTTTAATAAAATTTGGTATGGAGTTAGCTGATACCCTAGATTAACACATAGGCTACTTTTATCCCGAAAAAATGTTAGGTTCCAGAGGGATTTTCAAGAAACTAAGTTAACGCAGACGAAGTCGCGGGCGACCTCTAGTTTTGTAATAATTTTGGTTATCGTAATTTGGTTTCAAAAGTTTATTTGTATAGTAGTTCTGTTAACGGGTTTCAACTGTATCTATATATATAAAACTCAAAGGTGACTGACTGACTGACATAGTGATCTATCAACGCACAGCCCAAACCACTGGACAGATCGGGCTGAAATTTGGCATGCAGGTAGATGTTATGACGTAGGCATCCGCTAAGAAAGGATTTTATCAATTCTACCCCCAAGGGGATAAAATAGGGAATGAAAGTTTGTATGGAACTTTGTCAATTTTAAACCGATCGGGCTGAGACTTTGCATGCAGGTATAAGAAAAATCATAGATGAATGTCATTGTGTATAATACAACAATTCAGCTCTACACCGAAGCGAAGCGAGGGCGGACCGCTAGTTTTTAATATTTCTTCTTTACAGGCTCAGGTTTGAACGAAAACCAAACAACGTGTGCACTGCACACAGTACTGGAAGGTGATGGGTCCCTAATTGTTATCCCCTTTGCAGTATCGAATAATTCAAACCCAGTCATCTCTACGGTTTCTATTTCTAGGAAACCTATTAGAAAGAAGACAAGACTATAATTTATATAAAATATTCTATGAATAATATGGCTTCTTTTCTTTTCCTTTTGGGATACGGAACCCTAAAAATTTACGAAATCTTATCTTGCCTAGTCACAAATGCAAGAAATACAAATTTCCCTACTTTTAGGGAAAATTTCCCGTAAATAAAGTAGCCACACAGTTGTATTTTTGTTTACAATTTTTATCCTTGTAAATAAAATATAATATAAAAAAAATATCAAGAATCGTCAATACTTAAGCATAGTAGGTGATTCCTTGTGACTTTTCAAATTTACTCGTGTAGTTTTTAAAAGATTTCACCACACAAGACGGCATTTTTTTAAAAATATATCGGAGCAATTGAACGTGTGACTGGCGCTGTCACGCGAGTTCAAATGGCAGCGGATTGTCCGACCTGGTGCATTAGTGTGAGTGTAGGTAGTGTACAACACACGATTTTGTCTGACCTACATGTCATTGTCATGCTTCACATGATTTGCCTTTGATATTACGTCCGTCTTTTTTTCAGGTCCGTGTATTTAAGGGTTAGTATATATTTTTTTTAATTTTGGGCCAAAGTTGGCCTTAAAGAGGGTTACTTTAGCTCGTTGAGTTTTCTCTGTGAAAAAAACTCATTTTAAGCCATGTTGGGGTTAAGTAACCTTTATAACAGATCACCATTAGCATACTGAATACACAAATGGATGTTTTTGCCAAAAAAATAAGATAAATAAAAAATATAACTTTAAATGTAAAAAAACCACAGTTTTGAGAAAGTTTGCGCATGAACTTGCGAACTATTTCAGTTCCAAAAAATCTCGCGTTACAATGACAACTTGATACAGGAACGATGTCGGTAAAACAACACCACACTACGCGCCTATATAGCTATCTGTGATTTTCAACTGGATCTATTACGGTCACCCAAGAGATACTGATAGGGCGGCAAGTTAAATGTTTTTTTTTTTCGCGATCGACTGTTTGAGCACCCCTGCTCTAGGATATTCGAGAAAGTTTGAGAATATTTTCTTTCTCCCACTTTCTTGAAGTTCAAATACTCGACAACAGATGGCGCCACTACACTTAATTTCCAAATTCAAATACTCGACAAAAGATGGCGCCACTACACTTAATTTCCAAGTTGAAGGGTTGGAAAAACCCTTATATCTTTAAAAACACGCCCTCTAGGTTAAAACGGGAACTTTCCTGTTCGAGGGGGGATAAAGGGCTATCACATTTTACTAGTCCCTTTATCGTGCCGGGACTTTTTTAAGTTTTTTCGGGACGCACATTTTATCAACTTAATTATATTATATAATAATGATAATGATTTTCACCCCCGAGAAGGGGTGGTATCTACCCCTAGGGCAAAAGCGCAAGTTGGCACTATGTCACTTTTGTTTCTTAAGGTATCCCCCACCTACTCACCGATTTTTGGTTGAACGAACTGCTGATTTTTGCCTTCATTGACTGTACTATTATTTCTAACTAACTCCACGCGGACGAAGTCGCGGGCAGCTGCTAGTTACTAATAAAATGAATCCTTCATAATTTGAATGTACTTACATTTAATTCTGAACATTTTCTTTCCTCAGCCCGATGGTGTGGTAATATTCGATTGGACGGCCCAGCAGCAAGCCTATGTTTTGTCCGGTTACTTCTGGGGCTATGCCATCACCTGCTTGGTGGGTGGCACAGCCGCGGAGATGTGGGGACCGAGACGGGTCATTTTTATAACCACGACCCTCAGCGCGATCCTCACTGTACTGTGCCCGCTCGCCGCAAGATGGCATTATCTGGTCTTGGTGGCATTTCGATTTGTCACAGGCTTATTAGCAGTAAGTTTTTAAGTATTTTGTTAATTTAATGTATCTACTTAAGAGAGTAATTTACAAAATTCTTAAATGATTGAAAATTACGTTTATAATTATAAAATATTTAAACGAACGGTAAATCTCGTGGTTTAATGACTAGGTAGTAAAATATTTCTTTAAACAAACAGTGCCGTAACGTTTATAATATCAAAGCGATAATGACTTTAAACAGTCAGCCAAGGAAAGTGTGGTTTATCTTGATATACCGCAAGCTAAATTATACTAATACCTTTATCTAACGCCTAGGTACTTATTGTGTTCGAGCAGTTTAATTTTAAATGAAGGTACTAACTACGAACATAATTTACATTCGTTGTATCGTTGTTATTATTAAAGAGGTGGCTATTAATTTTATGCTTGTGTATTTATTTTTTATTAATGTGTTAATTTTCAAATTTATATTAACAGAACTATTTACAATATTTCGCTAAGTGTTAACTAATTAACTCCTAACAGGACCAAATCCATTATTTAAGAAGGTGCCGTAGATTGTTTTGTTATATCTTATCGAAATATGCAGTAACAATTAGCTTTTACATTAGACGAGTTCTATGAATAATTTAAATAAATACATATACCTAGGTGTTTCTACTATGATTATCAGCACGTGTAGTAAATATTTTAGTGGACACGTATCCACGATAAAACGTACCTATTTCGCTGTAAACTAGGTGCGCAATATAAGTGACAATATTGTAATATACACACATCAAAAGTGTCTAGGGATCAACATATATTTTTGCAATAACTTTTCTCCTGATTGATATTAATTAAAATTTTCTTTAAGGATTCATCAAATAAAGTGTTTTCGTTTGTCACAGTAACGATAAACCAAGTCACCTTTGCATTAATAAAGAAATTTGCCATTTTCCTAATAAAGGGATTTTTGACATTTGAACCACTAACACAAAAGTTCGAAAAAAAGACTGAAATAACAGTTTTCTCTAAAATTTTATTGGGTAACTTAAACAATTAATAATCCGTATTTCTACCGCGAACACTAACAACACAAGAACATCGGTTTGGCATACTCAAAATGAGTTCATCCAAATCACGCTGTGGAATGGCCGCCCATGTTCGTTGCAACAACAAAAAAAGGTCTTCTTGCGACTGGATACCCTCCATATTCGGCAGAGCTCTTCTCTGTAGCATATCCCATGCATGCTCAATCGGGTTCAAGTCTGGCGACTGAGCAGGCCAGGGCAGGACATTGATGTTAGCTGCGCGCGAGAGTCTGTCTTACAACTCTTGCGGTGTGCGGTCGTGCATTATCATGCATTAACTGAAATAAGGGACCGATTTGCACTTGTAGAGGAACGATGACGTCTGATACAATCGTCTCAGCATAAATTTGAGCGTTGAGGTTGCCTCTGATCCAAATCAACTCAGTTCTTCCGCCGATCCAAATACCCGCCCATACCATGATGGTTCCACCACTATAAGGATGGACTTCCTGGCAGGATTTTAATCGCTGTTGGCGTCCAGGGGTTCTCCAGTGTCGTATACGTCTTGTATCCGGTCTCATACCAAAACGAGACTCATCAGAAAAGCACACGAAACGCCATTGTTCTTCTGCCCAATTTCTGTGTTCAAGAGCCCATTGATATCGAATCCTACGATTGTGAATTGCTATAGGTGGTACCCGTAGCGGTCTTCGGGAATGAAGGTTCACTTCATGCAAGCGGTTTCTGACTGTTTGGTCGCTAATTAAGTTCCCTGAAGAGTGATGAAGCCTCACGGCTAACATCATGGCGGTTATTGTTGGAGCTCTTCGAGTTAAGATTTGAATGTATCGGTCTTGTCTCCGTGTGGTGCAGCGATACCGTCCTCCATGGCGCTCAGCCACGGTACCAGTGCTTCGGTATCGTGTCCAAAGTCGACTGATAACACTCTGACTTGTATTCAGAGCTAAAGCCACAGTACGTTGCCGGGAACCAGCTTCTATCATTCCCACGGCTCTGAGCATTTCTTCCCTGCTTAAATGACGTCGCCGCTCCATAATAACGTTGGTTTTAATCAGTAGTAGGGAAACAGTAGCACTAATAATGTCTTCAATGCGTTGTATGTTTTTATAGGGAAAATATTGACAGCTGATTTTCATCTTTTACTCGAATTTGATTCACAGTTCCTGATTCAAATTATGAAATGCACCAAAAAGGATCCATATAAATTTATAAAATCATAAATTTATTACAAAGCCACATCTCAATCTCAAGAAATCCGCATAAAAATGCTTGATCCCTAGACACTTTTGATGTGTGTATTTTCACAATTGTTATATTTACTAAGTATGTAATTGATAATATAACATGTAAATAAAATAACAATGAGTTTAGGCACTGAATACTTGGAATCTCTAAAGTCGTAGATTTCACTGTTAGTCAGATAGATAAATAGAGACAAGAAGTTGTATTTTCAGTTTCAGTTAAAAAATATTTGTAAGTTATTTTCCCGCAGAAGTAATTCCCGCATGTAAGTTATATTAAACGGTAAGAACAGCAGGGCCGTAGCCAGAGTTGTATTGAAGATAGAGTTGCGATAAATACAGGAAGGGCATAAGCGGGGGCGTATTTTTATTTAAATTAGTAAATCTAATCAAAATATAGGACTGTAATGAATGCCTTTATATAGCTTCTGTCGCCCCTTTCAATTATATTAAGATTATGTCGAAGGTTTTTTAAGGTAGGGATAGGGGTTCTAAGGTAAGCCATTGCCCTCCCCGAGCTCGGCCTTGAAAACAGTCATTCTTGAAAGGTCCTTGACATGTACTACACCAGATACCGCTCATAGCCTAAGTATGGACTTTACCGGATTTGTATCGTCGCCGTTAAATTTTGTATGGAAGGAGCCAGTTTGTTTTTACGTCCAGTAGAGGCACTGTTTAGTTTTCTTAGAAACTTTGACTATAAGCTACGATTATGAAGCTGGCAAAATAAATAATGAATAAATATCTCTAATACCTACTCACACCAATTAGCCTAGCCCCAAAGTAAGCACTATAAGGCTTGTGTTATGGAATACTAGGGTAACAGATAGAATACATATACTGATACATATATAAGTATATAAATATAGAAATACATATTAAACCTCCATGTTTGGAGTACAAATGCTCGTATTCGTCACACAAACATCTGCCCCCACCGGGATTCGAACCCGGGACCTCTCGAGTTGTCGATACCTTGAAACCCGGCGTACATACCACTCGGCTACGGAGGTCGTCAAAATAAATTTGAGCTTAGGCCTCTGATGTCAAGTGTAAATTAATTTTAGCTACAAACCAGCGGACAGGGCCGATAAATGTGCCACCTTGATTGCGTAAACAGAACCCACGAACCCAGATCTTCAAGCTCTGGAAATCCTACGTTCTCACTGACAAAACTACAACACCAATTATATTTTTGCAAATGTAATATATTGAAAATGTTATTAACTCTGTACAGTGGTAGGAACTGCTCTGAAAATGTGACCGGTTGTATATGTTGCTAGAGTTTACTTATCTACAGCTCAAGTAGCTACTGGTTTTAAGCAACTCTATACCCTGAATTAATGTGTAAATATGAACTTGTAATTAGTGTGTGAACATTGGATGACTTCTCTGGTCAGTTCTCTAGATCATGTCGCTCTTATATTTGAGTCGAGTCACCAATGGCGAAGACGTAGGCTGGCACGAGCATGAGTACTTACATCGTCTCCTGTTTTAAATGATAATGAGAATAGAGTAGATAAACTCGATAGCGCAAGTGGTTAACCAAAAATTTATTATCTAGAGCTCCTCTACTTTGCTGCATCTGCAGTCGTTAACACCCAAAATTCTTCTTATTCTTCGTTATGGTATGGCCCAAACTCACTATATTCCATCCATAATAGGGAAGGCCTGTGGCCCTGCGGCCCTGCAGTGGGTACATTAATAGGCTGATGATGGTGATGAACGATAATGGATGATGTATTTTTATCTGCAGGGCTTCCTGTTTCCGGCGCTGCACGCCCTTTTGGCTCACTGGGCGCCTCCCGTAGAGAAGGGCAAGTTCGTGAGCGCCTTACTCGGTGGAGCTATTGGGACTGTTGTCACGTGGTCACTCACGGGACCTCTTATCGAGAACTTAGGATGGGACTACGCGTTTTATGTGCCAGGTAATTTGATATTAAACTTACGTTATCAGTTGATTGTATTTTGTGCTCTTTTAATGACCTGTATTTTGATCCAGTTATCATACTCCACGTAGTCATAATATTATGTTCCTACCACAAAAACGTAAAACAGTTTTATGGCTGAATGCTGTATAGCCCGCCATTCAGCTACACTATAATCTATATATCGTAAACTTCGTTGGGCCCTATTCTTCTTTACAGCTTAAAAACTATATAAGTAAGAGTCACCTTTTGGGACAACAGGTGCTGGGTTGGTCAACAATCGTATGCGATGTAATGTAGAAAATCACTTTTGTTCTAATGCTAAATGTGGTGTCGTTAAGGTGTCTATTTGCGGAATAATAAGAATAATAATTTATTTAAGGGAATAGTTATTTATGTTATACCTTTAATGTTATCTTTACCAATTCCGCAGGGGATACCCAGTTAGGTAATTGACCTATTTTTGATTCGAATTAAAATTCCGTGGCATCTTCTAGTCTCACGGGCGTGAGGTAGTTTCTACATGATAAAGGACAATGGCGAACTCCCATACAATTTTTTGTTGAAATTTTTTTTGCGTCTATAAATGAATTGCATCTTAAATTATACAGTTTAGATTCTCGATTTGATTCGTCTGATTTCTATTATTATAGGAAGTCTGGATTTATAGATATTCTACTTTGAAGTTTTGGAGGTTATGTCATACCAAGTAATACAAAAACGAATTATTAAAGTATTTACAAGAGTATTTTTATATCAAAATAAAAAATACGTGAACGGAACTATAAAAGTATACGGTTCCCGTAGATTAGTGACGAAAAAAAATGTTTTTTATAATGTATGATCAGTGGGCGTAGGTACTTACTGACCAACCGCGTCAAAATACTTAATAATACTAAACAGACCAGGGTTATTTAGTTCGAATACAATGTCTGTGCTGTAAGAAGTACTTAACAATTTGAAAATGACCACAGCAATAATAAAGTATAAAAAAGGATTTCTAATAGTGTACTGATGGGATATTAATTAAATATGAAACACTTTTTTATATATTTTTATTCCATATCTTTGATCACAATATCGTAGATAGTAGATACAATGCCAATGAAATAAAATCCACAGTATGGGACGGAATCGTGTCCAAAATCCACAGCAAGAAGTCGTCCGAAATATCAGATTCGGAAGTCTTAGGCAAGCACTACTCAACAGTCGCAGGGAAGATTTCGAGATAGATTTAGACTAAATGCAGTCCAAGTCACATAAAAACACAAATCACAAAAAAATCACTGCGCCGATTTAAATCGTTGCAATACGCATGCACTTAAGCACAAGCAACGATAATGTTATCAATATCAACAACAATTCGATGACAAGCATGACAGTGACAGTTATAGTTTTTGCGTTAGAATTGTCGCCATACCCTTTTTGTATTGGGGAGATTATTTATTATGGTTTCAGTATAATATTGAAAAATAATGCTCCCCGATATTTTTGATAGATAATTAAATACAGTTTAAGCGTAAAGCGATGCAAAACATACGAACAACATATTTAAAGCTGATTTCATCACTAAAACCACTTAAAATAAATGGCTCAAATAAAAAAATAAATAGTCAATTGTGATTCCCTTTTTTAAGTTTTTAATTCCAGACTTAGACAACCCTCCTGAATTGTTTAATAAAGTTTTGAGCTTATTTTAGTAACATTTCTGATAATGACATATATAGACGCTAAAGATTTACTTCAACAAATATTTCGCCATTGTCCTTTAATAACTGTTTCGATATCTACGCTTCTCTATTACCACCTGGCCTGATTTACAATTATGTCTCTTCAAAACGAAGCACTTGAGACTTGACGAAGAAGAGTGCAAAGTCCGTTGCAAAATCTTTTTAAAACATGCTCATTTAACACTTACGCAACGTTTAAGGACTGTTTTTTTACGCGAAGCTTCCGATATTAAATAACGTTGTAACAGTAAATTTGATGTAATATGATATTTTTATATTCTAGGTATAATAGCCCTAGTTTGGTGTTTCGCTTGGCTGGTGTTGGTGTATGACTCGCCGGTGCAACATCCTCGTATACTGGAGAGTGAGAAGAAATACATTTTAGAAGCAATCGGTGACAAAGTTCAACAGAATCATGAAACAAAGGTAAACTATTATAATCGTAAAAAACAGTTTACACAGTTATTAAGAGTCGAGCCTTGCTTGAATGCGGTGTTCCCTCATATCTTATAACAAGATTTTAATAACATTAACGGCCGTGGGTACTTTAAGAAAGTGTTTAAGTTACTAAAACAAATTTTGCATAACATTTTCTCTTACTCATGTTGAAGCATTTCTGCTGCCTGGTCCACATGGATTTTTTTCTAGTAAATAACTAAATCTTCAGATTTAGTCATCTATATAGCAGTTAAATGCTTAAAAATATATATTAACCTGAGTAACTTTTTTTAATAACATTTATATTTTGTTTCATTTGAATTCGCTTAATTCAATTCAAATAAAATTGACGAAATAGTTCTCACTTGATAGTTCTTTAAAAAGGTCCGGGACAACACATGTCTAACTTTTAAGGTTGGCCCACTATAACCTTTTTCCTCAAATTCATTCTGGTGGAACCACAGGGCACCTTTAATTTTATAATATGTTTTTATTGAGACTGCTACCTACTTTGGAAATTTTGGAATATACACCTTATTAAACTAAACAGAATTTTGATTACCCACAGATTGTTCCCCCGTTCAAGAGAATATTCACATCTCTGCCGTTCTTGGCGATGGTGATACTCCACTACGGCAACAACTGGGGGCTGTACTTTGTGATGACGGCCGCGCCCAAGTTCGTGTCTAGCGCACTCGGCTTCAACCTGACTTCCACTGGAACCTTATCTTCTCTACCTTACTTGGCTAGAATGATATTCTCCGTGATCTTCGGAGCTATTGGCGATAGGTGAGATGATATTTTAAATGCAATAGTCGGTTAAGATCCGGCTTGAAGGAGCATAGGTTGAGTCCTATACTACGGGAATGCTGTTATCCACTACGGCAACAACTAGGGACTGTAATTCATGATGACGGCCGCGCCCAAGTTAAGTGCAACGCACACAGCTTCAACCTCACGTCGACCGGCACTCTGTATTCCCTACCTTACTTAGCCAGAATGATATTCTCCGTGATATTCCGAGCTATTGGTGATAGGTGAGATATTTTTTTTGTCATAATATAGTCGGTTAAAATCCGTCGTGAAGGACCATAGGTTGAGTCCCATACTACGGGAATGCTTATATTCCACTACGTCAACAACTGGGGGCTATATTCGTGATGACGGCCTCGCCCAAGTTAAGTCCAGCGCACTCAGCTTCAACCTCACATCGACCGGCACTCTGTCTCCTCTACCTTACTTAGCCAGAATGATATTCTCCGTGAGATTCGGAGCTATTGGTGGTAGGTGAGGTGTTTTTTTCTGTCAAACATAAGTCGCTAGTTCAAATCCGGCTTGGACAACCATTGGTTGAGTAGTATGGCAATGCTGATACTCCACTACGGCGCGGCGACAACTTAGTGTCCAGCGCACGCGGCTTCAACCTCACATCCACCGGCTCTCTGTATTCCCCACCTTAATTGGCCAGAATGATATTTTCAGTAATATTCAGAGCAATTGGTGAGATATTTTATTTGTCATAGAAGGACTATTGGTTGAGTAGCGTGGGAAAGCTGATACTCCGTCGCACTAGTCTACAATCTCACCTCTACTGGAACCCAATTTTCTCTATCTTAATTGGCCAGAATGGTATTCTTCGTGATATTGGTGATAAGTGAGATGATTTTTTTAAATACAATAGTCGGTTAAGATCCGGCTTGAAAGATCATTGGTGTATTTAGGTTACTACATTTGCCGAAGGAAACCCGCCTTTAGCAAATCTTGAATTTATTAGGGACACTTATTGACTTTCAGTACACATCGATTACGCCACCAGATAGATAGATGAATTGGTGTTGCCAGAGCATCAAATATAACGATATATCTAAATATGTTGCCAAATGCGTACTAAATTACACACTTCACCTGAATTTAAGTCAGTAAGCACCATAAATGATTCATGGTTAGAACTAGATTTATACACTAATCTTTGTATTTCGTTGTTATAAAATAATTGCAAACAGTCTATGTCGGCCCATGGCCCATAGCCTGACTACGTTCTTCCAATCTCACACAGGATAAATAGTGACTATGGTATAGTGATTAAAGTCAGTTTAGTTAATTTGTTTCCTACCATCTAATGATATTATGTGACTACGCATGTATAATATGTTGCCAAATGCGTTGTTTATAATACTCAGTAAAGAAATTATTTTCTTTCCTTACAGAATAATAAAGCAAAATATGGTTTCGACTACGTTCATGAGGAAGTTCTTCTGTTTGTTCTCCCACGTGGTGCCGGGTTTGCTACTGATCGCCCTTGGCTACACTGGCTGTGCTCCTGTACTATCTGTCGCTCTCATCACGTTCTCCATGGGTTTGAATGGAGCAGCAACACTCACCAACCTGGTGAATCATCAGGATCTGGCTCCTAACTTTGCTGGTACCTTGTACGGTATTGCGAATGGTATTGGCAATACTGCTGGATTTGTCACACCGCTAGTGACAGCTTACTTCACGAAAAATGGGGTAAGTGTGTTTTAGTGTGTTTAATCATGTAACTAATGTAAAAACATTTTCGGTATGTTCTATTCACGAAAACGAGCTAGAACAATCTTTCTTGACATAAGCTGGTATAAAGACGCTAGCGCGTGTTGTTGCTCTGGCTAATGATAACCCCCTTTCTCAGATGCAGTTTGTCATCCGTGCCTTTGTATGCGATAATGTGATAAAGAAAGCTCTCCATGAACACGTTTTCGTGAACAGAATACAGCTTAATTGCGGATAATAAGTGATAAAGACAAACTTTTTGTTTTTTTGTAAACCTAATATAAACCTAATACTTAAAATATTATTATGCCAAGAATAAACATAATTTTGATTTACCTAAAAGCAATTCATAATTTAGCATCTGTAAATATAAAATTGAGTGCTGTTACCGTTTTCCTAATCTATCTAAATTTTTGTTTCAGAATGGATTTACGGAGTGGCGTCCTGTCTTCATAACCGGTGCCTCAATATACATCGCATCAGCTATTTACTTCATCTTATTTGGTACAACGGAGACACAAAAGTGGAATTACGTAGAGCCCGTTCAAAACGAAGAAGAAAACAAGAGGCCCAGTGGAAGCTCCACCGATACCACTGTAACGATTCCAGTAAAAACATAGATGTAATTATAGTTAGAATATTGAAATACTTCGTTTGAAAGACATGTTCATTCTACAGAATTTTAAACATGACTTAATGTTGTTTAAGACTTCATATTTAAACAGGGTTTATTTTGCAGCTCAAAACGAGCTTGTACCGACGAAAGCTAAGCTCCCTTTCTCGTGTAATGATTTAGTTTTACATCCTTGTATTTTGTAATTGTGTGATAAAGTAAATCCTCCACTATGGCGGCCACTTGTTTTACCGGGTAACGTGACCGACGCGATATATTTGTCTTTATTTCTATAATACATAAGAGGCACATATATAGTGTAAAATAATCTTGTTTCTGTGAACAGAGAATAATGTACAACACTTATTGGAGTGAAACATGAATTTTGTTGAATGTTATTTCTTTTGTTGGCTTGCCTCTTTCCACTCAAACGGAAAAAAGGGAATCGTTCTTAGTTTGTTTAGACGATTATACAATTTTTACTTGCTTTTAAATTACATGTGTAATTAAAATTACCTCTATCTCATGAAAAGTAAGTTACTATAAGTACAGATAATAGAGTACTATTAATAGTACTGTATATAATAGATATTATTTGAAATATTAAGACAGTATTATTTTCTTACATAGATAGAGAATAGGTAGGTAACAATCCCGTAAATAACTGTAACAGAATAAGAAAGGAGATTGCTCAAATTGGCCCAAATGCACAAAAAATATTGACATATACGGTAATTCTTGGCGCAATTTATAATTTAATTTACAGTCATTAGATTTCAACGGACACCTTTGTATAATATATTTACTTTAAAAAGGACTTTTTTGGTAAACATACGAATCTTTTTTAATGGCTATGGGTGTAGTAACATTCAGCCAAAGACTGATCGAAGTTGTTTATATAATATAAAAACAAATCTATTTTGTAAAGATCGATAAAATAAACAATTTTTTATTACACTGTGGTATTAATATCCACAACTATATTATCATTTTCACTACATGCAAATGTGCTCAGACAATTATTATAGATGGTAGGCAACATCATAAAGTCTATTGCCATACATTTTTCGCCAAATACCTCCATAAACACATTATAATCTGTATATGTGTTAGACTTTAAGGTATCTATCTATGGGCCTACGTTGCCTGACTATAAATTAATAAATAAATAAAATTATAAGGTGTGATAGATACACTATAAATCCAAAATATGGTTATATTTATAACATAACAAAAATAATGAAGCCACTGAATGGCTATATAACCTAAATCTCTTAGCTTTCTTTGGTTAACGAGAGTTTAAAAATTCTCCCTAATCTGTGGCTCATTCACAATCATCACACAGTTTCTGTCACAGAGTACCTTATTATAACCGGAAATGCATAGATGACACCTGATTTCAAAAGTTACTCTTATGCATTAACTTTAAAAACAGACAACTATCTGTTAATCTACATGCTCTATATACCTGAATCTAATCCATAATTTCGGTACTTGGCTTGATTTCCCTAGTTTACTATAAAACTTATTTGTTTTCTATTATGTTCAGTGTATATGGTTTATAGAAGTTCTCAGGGGTGTCCGTCAATAATATTTGTTTCTACAGTAATTTATATGTAATTTCGAATTTAGGAAACAATTTTTCATAATTATTGGTCTTTAGGCCAAACATGTATGGAAGCTGAGCAATCTCCTTTTCATACACTTCGTTTGTGGTTGAAAAAATAGTGTACCTACCCAGCTGTGTCAGTGGGCACAAACTGTATTTATGTGAAATTAAAATTGAATTTATGATTAATATAATAGCCATTTCTTATTCCATCCATTCCATTTGTAGTGTTAATAGTAAAAATGTATCGTAGGTTTGTTTTTAAAAGTGTACCTATAGTGAATTACTTATGAGCAACATGAGAATAATTATGAGAGAAAATAATTCACCTACATCTATACTGTCTTTAAGTACAAAAACTATTTAATTATTTTATTTTTTCAAAAGTCCGATAGGTTTAGTTTAGGAACATTTGCCTTACGTAATTGAAAACTATAAGTACTTAAGTAAATATCATTTGTAAATACATATTTATATAATGACCAATTAGGTTATTTGCTTTAGTGCAAATAGTAATGTGTTACCTAATTGATTTTCACTTAGACGGTCAGTCAAAAATGCTTACGATTTTAATATGAGCGAACATTGAAATGTGATTGGAATGTTTTATCGCGTATATGCCAGCGAATCGGTAAATTGGATCAAGAAGCAATGTGTATGGATCATTCGTCCATCATACTCATTTAATATGTTCAATATAATCACCATCGCACATTCGGTCGCACTCAAAGACCTCATATATTTTTAAATTTCTTTACGACTACAGTCGTTGTCTCTGTACAACGACTTTATTAAATTTAATTGACATTTGGCTATCCTGAAAATTACATTAATATTGAGAACTTGAATATTATTAAATATTCGTACCCTAGCTAGGTACCTATTTAAAGTTGGAAGGCGATAGCTCAAAAACTTATTTATAAACTAGCTGACTCGGCGAACTTCGTACCGCCCAAAAGTAATAATTTGCAATAAATTAAATTTGCGACTATAATTTGAGATTTAAACTATTCTATCTCTCAAGTTGGATCGAACTGCACATGGTGTGCGAATTTCATTATAATCGGTTCAGTGGTTTAGGAGTCCATTGAGGACAAACATTGTGACACGAGATTTATATATATTAAGATATGTACAATAAAAATTATACGGATCAATATAGGTTTTGTATTTTAATTAATTTAATTAGTATATTACCTAAAAGTACTTTATGTATATAAGACTGTGATGATTTTGTGTGCTCAGATCAGGCGTATTAATAAATTGGCTAATATAAGCTATTGTTTGATTTTTGTCATTTTTATTTAACCTGTATGTATACCTTTTCAGTTAACCTTTAAGTATGGACTTCAAATAATTTTAACACTTATGCGGACATGGAGTCTCTCAGGCAGGCTACTATATTCACATGCAACTTTTTTCTAGAATCTTATTTCGAACCGCGTCATACCCGTAGCTATATCTGAATATAGGTCTCTAATAAGAAAAAAAAGTTTTTGGAATCGACTTCCTTCATTATAATTATAGAAAATATGGAAAATTAACAATCAATACACTTTTTTGACTTTTTAGAGTTATATATTTTAAAAGTAACTCAATCCTACACAAGAACAAAAAAAAACTTTTATATCCACTAATTTACTACAAGAACGTAAAAAAACATAAAAGCCCCGTTCTGGATACAAAAATTTAAATATCTGGCTGCAGTCATAATATATGTGATTTACTGGCAAACAGCACATAAAGAAGGAGAATATTGCAGGCAGTGTTGCCAACTCGGATTTTGAAAAATGCGTAGGCCCGATGAGAAAATTACGTAGAATTGGTAAATTTTGCATATGAAAAGTACGTAGATCTACGTACTTTTTTCTGAGTGAAATGAAGAAGTTAGGTGAAACCGAATTAAACGAGTATTTTATTATACAATTTCTTTAAAAACGGGCGATAGAACAAAGAGTTCTTGGAGAAGTCGCTGCATTGGAAGCATAAATGCTTTCAACTATACCATACCACAGCATGGTAAACCATGCTGTGGTAGACATTTACCATCAGACACAGACACTGGTGGATGTCGATTCTCTAAATTTAAAACTAAATTTAACATCAGTCTCTCCTTTTCATTCTTTATAGAGAATGACAAGGATACATTGTTGTTAAATAGGCTAGTTGACACTTTTTGCAATTATGTTTTGAAATGTTAATGATTGTTCTATCAGACCGAAAAAAATGTATTTTTTTTACCTACAAGACATACAAAAACGCTGTATATTCTATAGACTTATCTATGCTATGACGTCAAAACATTTGTAAACGAACACACGCAAGCACGTAGGAAATAAACTTTCTGAGTTAATATTATAAAACCATGATTTCTAATATATCACATGAAAAATTTAGTAGTTATCATGATACACTTGGTAAAAGACTAGAAAAGTTGTGGTTTAAATTGCCAAGAGAAATAAACATACTTCATGAACACATGTTTAAAACTTGCTAAATCCTGTAACTTTATGCACTGAAAGTCATTTTTTTGCAAAGATCAATTCGATGTAAGTACTCATTGAATAATATTACAGTTTAAAAATACAATTTTTAAGGTTATGAATGTACCTACTAAGTTAGAGTTTTGTCGTTTCTGCTTTCACAAATCCTGCGTCCAGCATTAATTTAGTCAACAAAACCAATAACGGGAACCCTTTCTACAAGATACAAGAGTTTTTAGAGACATTTTTATAAGAAATAAACATTTGTATAGTTTTTAAGTAAAGTAACGGAAAATATTCTTCTATATTCTAGTGAATTAAGTTATTTTACAAATTTGAAAAAAAATAAGAAAATACGTAGATTCTGGGATTGAAGTTAGTAGGTTTGCAGAAAAGGCCTAAAATACGTAGATCTACGTAAAAAGACGTAGAGTTGGCAACACTGATTGCAGACACACAGGCCTGCTGCAACCGACAGAAACTGAAGTGGTTATTCTATGGTTTTTCGTGGGACATATTCTATAAGCTCTTTTAGTTCCTTGACCGACTGGTGGAGTCTGGACATCTTCAGTAACCATATCTTTACCCAAAACTCGAGCTCAGGTTGCTCGGAAAATTTGTGCTTTAAAAATTCGCTCGGTATTTCCCTTTTATTCTGAATGTATTGAACAAAAACAACTCGCTTTACTACTTTCCGTTATTTTTCATAACAAAAATCTCAAAGAAACACGAAAACTATCAAATATTTATATGGCAACAGTGGACGTGGCAATGAATATTACTCACGTGCTATGCATCCAGCGACACAACCCCTCATTATCTATTTTGCTGCTAAAAGTGGAGCTACTGAGATGCTCGGTTGCAAGGAGACGGAAGTGTGTGAAACTAAGAACTTGAGAACCGCGCGGAGCCTGTGAGACTCCTCATCCATACTTAAAGGTTGAATGTGTTATGAGAAGTTATAGAAGTATTAACATCTCATACAATTAAATATGTTAGGATTAATAAAATTACTACAACATGTTTTCGTTTAGTTTAGTGTGTCAACTTAGGTTTTGCTAATTTCTAAGTACGTAGATAATGTGCAAATTAATGAGGTACCCCCACCAAAACTCGCCTTTTCCCTTTTTTTGCGGATATCTAGTACTTGTTTATTGCATTTAAAAATAAATTCAATTTATAGGCTTGATGATGATTATTACGATCGAATTGTATTAATATTTATTATTAGCGTTGTACATTAAATAAAAGAAATATTTCATCATTAAAAATTGTTTAATATATTTTAGTACGTTTAGGTACATTATGATACATTATATACAGAGTCATAGTTTTCTTTTAAATCAATATAATATTTTTATCTTATAACAATTAAATGACACATAAAAGTCTGTTTATTTCTGAATACATATAATATCAATTACGTTAATTAATTATTAAAATTTATCGATTGGCGACGTTAACATAATAAAACAAACATCTAGAAATCAAACTCTCATTGGAACATCAATCTAATATTATCAATAAGTTTGAAACTACTCTTACCTCTTTGGAATAACATCACCAAAACAACTCTCGTTATGGTCACACATTTTTAACGTTCCGGCGGGATTCACAAAACAATCTACAACATGAATAAACTTTGACGCACACAAAGCGTTCTAAATTATAATATAGTAATATATTATACGTATGACGAATCGAACCACTACAAGTATACCAAATGAGATTACTACTCAACATGGGAGTGTGATGATTTTCGAAACTTATTTAAACATACGACATAGTTTGTGTAAAATTACACGAAAAATTTCATTCCGTAATATTATTCATATTAATTATGTCTTACTCAGACGTATGATTCCGATTCTGTGTCAGATTCTGAGGCGTCTAAAGCTATACCGTTCTGAGTTTTTTCAGTACCGTTGGTCGGGTAGAGACGCGGCACGGACTTGGAACGTGTGGACTTGTCGTCTTTATTCACATGAACTGGCTGGAACTTTTTTAATACCCGTTGGTAGATCATTTTCCGTGGCGGTACAGGTGGTGGCATGTGTGGTGGCTTCTTGTTATTATTTTGCTCTTCCGGCTTGCGGTACTCCGGTTGCACGGCAGTCGGTGTCGCTTTGTATATATCTGAAGAAAACATATTATATTTGTCTTCGTGAAATATATCCCTTGTGCGGTTGTAGACAGATGTGTATAGAGGCTCGATGTACTGCGTCGTGTAACAGTTCTCGAAGGAGTTCTCGCTTGCAGGAGACTCAGTAGATCTACTGTTGAATGAGTTCTGTGGTTGGTATAGTGTGTCGTTGCTGCTGGAATCAGTATGTATTACTATGTTTGCCAATGATTTGGATTGGTTCAGTTTATTATTATTGTAGTTTCTCAACCTACATTTTTTGTTCTCATCAGAATTGCTACCGATACGATCGTCGACGTAAGAGTAAGAATTTTGAAGCGGATTCAAGGTTTTTTCTTGTTCTCTAGTTTTAATCTGTATTCCTGTGCAACTCTTAGTACACATGTGTGCTGGGTCGAAGCGCCTCTTTCGACAACTATTGACGACGTTCACTTCATAATTTTCGTTCCGAGATCTCTCTGTATTAGTGGGCACTTCGTCATTAACATCTAAGCTCTTTGTCCTCGCTGCTTGACGAGACCAGTCATTTCTTGTGAAAATGGTGGCTGCCGGTGTTGTTCCCTTCCCATCTTGTTTGTTTTGCGAGGACTCTCCATGCTTTTTATTCATCATCTGTCCGTAAACATTTTCAGTTGTGCAACTGCTGTTTTTGTTATTATAATTTGTGCCCTTATTTTCCCACCCGGAGTATACGCGAGAATAATTCATATTAGAATTAGAAGTAATTTCGGCACGAGATTGGTATTGATTCTGCTGCCTCTGAATATTTTCTGTGAACATAGCAAGATCATGTATATTGCTGTACACAATATTTTCCTGACTCGAAACCAAATCGCGTTTGCTTTCTATCGATTCTTGCTTTGATTCTAAGAGGTTGTCAGAACTTTTTGCTCTATTGAAATTTTTGTTGGGTACATTTTTTTCTATTTCTTGCGTTTCCGCAAACATGCTGTAAACTTTTGAAGTTCTTGCAGCTTTTGACATACTTCTTGGGGGTTTCTGGGGTTCTAAACCAGTAATATATTTTGCTGGGCATTGTCCATAAATATCAGATGTGGATCTTTGAAGTGCAGTTTTGGAAACGTAATTTCTTTCGTCAATGCCGTTAGAGATTCCAATGTTTATCGAGTTGTGAACGTAACGTTCTCCAGTATAAGGCGTAGTATATAACTCTTCATTAACAGTACTGTACATTTCTGCTTTATTTGAATAAATATTTTGTCTTTGTGCCACTTGGGGAAGGCCATTCACATTGTGGTTGTCGTTATTATACCGTGAACCTAATTTTGAGTCTTGTAAATTACATGTGGGTGTTGAGAGGCTATGTAAAATATTTCTAGGTGCAGGGCTATTTCCACCGTTACTGTTTGAATCGTCTTCTGACAGAGTTAATCCTGAATCTCTACTTAGAGACAATTTTTCTTTACGTGGGGTAGACAGCTCCATAGAATCTAATGAGATACCGACCGAATGTAGACTGTCACTTTCTTCAGCTCCGGAATCAAGTAAAGCGTTGGAAGATTCAGGACTACCGTTTCCAAGAAGACCGCTTATTTGCGGTCCAAATAAAGCTTCGGCTTTCACTATAAGGAGTTCTACTACCATTGGCACTGCTTTGGGAGCTTTCTCACAGGGCGCACTGGGCCATAATAAACTGGGGCCAACACAGACACCGAGGTTCATCGGACACATGAGGTTGATGTTAGACTTCTTCGCGATGGCTTGTAATAAGCATACGAAGTAAGTCAGCATGGTGTAGTGGGCTTTGGGCAGCTTCAGTAATAGAGAACGAACTGCTGGTACCTTTTCTGCTTGTGACAATGCTGAAAAATAAATTAAAATAGGTAAATACCATTACATATATTTTGTAACATTTAATCTATTCTCTTTAATTCTACATTTATTTCTAAAACAAAACAAGTACAATATGCAAAGGAGAATGCCAGATTTTCAAAGAAAGTTAGGCCATGATTGCGCTTTAATGAAGTTTGTATCAAATAATAGTGAAATATCTATAAATGTGGTAGAAAAAATATCGTCACATTATGCAATAGAAGTTAAGAGAAATCGTATCATAAAGTAGTAAATTGGCGTTAATATTAACCACAATATTTGACAGATGATTGATAGATAATTTGTCATAAAACGGTACATTCCTTCCATACGTGAAGGCAAAGGGAACAAAACGTCCATACAGCCTAACTGTTTAAATGTTGACACCACAGATTACTTTATTCTAGTTAAGTTCAAAGCACCATGGACGAAGCACCGAAATCCTTTAGAGAAAATTTAATTTCTGAATCAACTAAAAATGGGAAAGACGTGGCGAACTGCACTTATCTTTGAGTTTTGTTGTTTATTTTTAACTTGACACCTGTCTATTCATGGTCTATTCTTTTCATTCCATATAAAGTACGATAAAGACAAACCCTTGCCAAATTTACGAATAGCAAATACGAATGGCCAAATGAAGTGCCGGCATTATAAAGGTGAAGCTCACCAAAGTAAAATAACACATGGTCACATTTAAATAATTTCACTAATTATTATTACTCTTGGATTTATACTGCTAAAACATTTACAGAAAATATGTTGTACTAATTATACTATCTAATCTACTGTAGAGAGAATTGTGACGTTCAATAGAACATGTCATAATAAATATTTTTCACTCATAAAGCAAGTCGTTTTAAAAAGAATATGAAGAAGAAAAGCATTTTAAGCAGACAACTACAGGTTTACATATAAAAAATAAAAAAAGAAACACATTGAAACATGAAGTTATTAAGCAGTAAGTCAGTGCAGCATTAATTACGTTACTTTTTAAAGTACATTGTATTTTTACTTAAAAATTAACAATACGAAGCCTTTTTTGAGGCACATCTCATTATTGCGCAATATACGCGAAATTTGTCATTCTCCTTTGCTACTAATATATAGACTAGTGATATTTGGGTTCATTATACAGTAATAAATTACACAAGTCTTAATAACAACTCTTATAATTGTGTATAAATAATTATTAAAGGATACTCACTAAGTACTTGTAGCCAGGATGGATAAAGATCCGCGGAAAGTAGCGGCTGTGGAAGAGCGCGGAAGAACTCTTTCACCAATGCTGCCAATAGCAAAACAGGTGCACGTTCTAGCTCAGCGCACGACTCTGCCCATGGACCTAAGGCATCCATCTGAAATTATAAAAAAAATGTTTCATAAGTTGACCATAACTTTCAAAAAAATACTTCAATATAATCAATCATCGCTCATTTTTTTACTGATATTATAAATGTGAAAGTGTCTGTTAACCTCTTCACCCTAAAAACCGCTTAACTGATTTAAATAAAAATTTGGTAAAGAGATTTTCGGAAAAGAGGAAAAGAGTCCTGTGTAAAGTAAATAAGATAGTTTTTATTCCAGAAATCATCCCTAAAGGTGATGAAGAGGCCCCGTTTTTTCTCGGATCTTTTTATGGGAAACAAATATTTCTATTATAATTAAGTCGCGGGCACCCACTAGTAACCTAATAAGCAAGTCCTTAGCATGTATATGGTTATTTGAGTCTGTGAATTAAAATTGAATACCAAATCGTTGATTTAAGAATATGGCAGACACCTACAACTATGAACTTAAAGTCTAAATTACTTTAAAGTCTACCTTATCTCTCAGCAGCCGCAGTGCTTTAGCGTTGGCGCTTCGACGGAACACGCCGTGCGTAAGAGGAGCAACTACCCTCAATCGGGTGAGAGCTCGGAGAAGCGCGGGCGGTGGCGTGCCATTGCAGAGTCTAGTCAGAGCGATGCCGAACAAGCGCCCGCCTCGACGCAACAGGCGTAGTCCGCGTCCTGGCGTTCCACTTCCACTGCAAAGTAAAATTAAATATAAATTTAGGGAAAATTTTATGATAACTCAATCATACGGTTTAACTTTCAGAAGTATTGACAACCAAACAGCACAATTATGTAGTAGTTTAGTTTTCTTGGGAATGATGTGGTACCATAGGCATGGTGGGGAGTTGGTTGAAGCATCAGCAATAAAAGATTTGTCTACCCTTCATGGTATTCTAGTTTATCTTAGAGCGGTAGGAATTAATACCACAACAACTTACTTTTTTAATCCCTGGTTTTTCTTTCTCAACTCGAAAACAAGCCCGCATGGATTATTCTTTGCGTTGACATGTTCTAAGTCGAAGCCATCTTCATTAGATAACGTTTGCCTTATTCTTGACATCTTGAAAACGAAAAACAGGATAAGTTAAAGAACAAAAGAACTTATATTTACTTGTTAAACTAGATTTTTGGAGTAATTCTTGTAAAATCACCTGTATTGAGTGTGGTCTTTCGATTCCGTGTAGAGGTGTTGGAGGTGAATCTCTTGTGGTTCTCACTAACAAAGTGAACTCATTGGCATTTCCCCAGCGATTCTCTTCATTCTCTCCTTCTCCCTCACCATCGCCATCGTCATTGCCACCATTTTGAAATACGTTCAGTGCTTGGCGTATTACACACCGGGCACTCATTTCAGGGCCAACTGATACTGTTTTGCACTGAAAATAAAAATTATTTTTGAATAATTCGAATTAAATATTGTGCTGCAAAAGATTAGATTTTTTTTTTGGATTTTTATTTATTGTGGTTTAATGCTTGGTCTACTTACGAATTCTATCGAGCTTGTCATGTCTTTGTAGAAGATTTGTATATTTGTTGACTTTGGTTCTGTCGCCAGTTGTGTGTTCAAAGCACTTTGAATTTTTCTGAAACGAAAGTAATAAACGAAAATGTACTATTATTTTAATAAGGCTTATAAAACAGGGAAGAGCTTTCAAAGTTTCGCAGTCTTACCTGTACCAGGTATCTCTAGCAGCTTGTGTTGGGTATGTAGCGAGGTAATTAGCAACCCCTATAGTCGTAGGCCATCCAATAAGGAAGCCTGTGTCATCGTTGTCTGGCAGGGATAGCCAAACTCCAGCCAGTCTAACACTCTCTTTCAGTTTAAAGCAGTTTGTGCCTCGAGACTTCCCGACAAGCAAGAGATCGCTGAATAGGAACAAATGACGGTCTAACGGTGGGGAACTTGTTCCTAAAGGATTCAGCTGTACGGGAGAATCCATTATGAAGGTTCTCGGTGATAAGGAACTGTTGCTGGCGCTGACAGTTCCACCGATATCCAAGCTTGGTCGCTTGCGAAGACTTTTCGATTTCTGAAAATAAATAATAATATTTTAAAGAACCTAAAATGAAACTGAAGATTATTTGTATTTTAATCGTCCATGAAATTAAAACCGTAATCAAGTAAATAATTTAAAAAAAATGTGCTTATAATATTGACTTGACTAATTCCTTCATAACTGTCGAGGGATTGCTAGTAAGCGTTGAGTCAGCGTTACAACAAATTATCATAAAAAGTAAGAGCATCCCGTTGTTCAGTTCGCTCGTGATCCTTATGACAGCGTGACCGATATGCGTGGAATCAAGTAAAATCATACCTGAGCATGGTGCGAGGCAAGTGCGGCGGGCGCGTCGGCGTCGTGCAGCGCGAGGTAGTCATGAGGGAACAGGTCTTGCACCCGCTCCAGGTCGGACAGGCGCGCTGCTCGCCTCCGCCCGCATCCACCTCCGACTAACCGTTCGTATTGCGCCAAACGCTCGATCTAGACAAAATGAAAAAATAAATTGTAACCTTCCTGACACATTAGTTATTGTAGATGTTTTAGACAATAAAATTCTTATACTTTTGTTGATAAAAGACAACATAATACTTGGAAGTAGTAAACTTTTCAAGAACTTCATTTTCCTTGAGGTAATCTAAATTTATTGATTTAAAAATATGACCAACCAGGGCTTCATAGATATTTTATTTATCAATGCATTCCTACAAATTGACAGCGTCGGCATTTGCTTTTATTAGAAATAAGATCTTAGATCCAATTGATGTGCTAACGTCATAGAAATTATCCGGTAACAAAATTTAATTTTCCCCGTTTAAGTACTTCTTTACCTTATATACCTACTTTAGTAACGTGCCTCGTATTGCATACATTATTGAATCTCGTAGCATGAAGACGATGAATAATAAATAAACGTTCAGACGGTCAATACATTTACTTATCAGAAGGTTCAGATCAAAGGCACAGATAGAGGGAAAGGACTATGAATATAATGAGAAAGACCATATCCGCCCACAGAGGCATTATACTTCATTGCAAGAATCTATTGAAACGTAACGATCTTAATCTAAATTCTCTTCGCATCGTGCGTGCTCGCGTCCTCAGTGACTTCCCGGGCGCCTCACGGCTCCTTGAAGCGTGTCCACGAGAGTCAAATCTTATTATTATAGAAGGACAAAGGACCGTGGGACTAAGAAGCCCTTGTATGCGATCCACACTTAAAGTTGTTAACCGCTAATACTAAACATGAGCGAGCAGATATAACTACATTTAAGAATGTTATGGCATACAGGCCTTTATGAATAATGATCCTTAGGAGTCACGTACGCCAGATTGCGAGCGAATATGCAGGACGCATGTGAATGGAATTTATGTTTATCTCAATATACAGAGATGGGAATGACATATTTAAAATACCATATATCTTTAAGTGTTGTTTGGTGTATAACTTTCTGATATAAATTGTATTAAGTAGAATTACTATTATTATTGAAACCGCTACACGTCTATGATTTTTTTCAATAGCAACAGATTAAGACAACCCGTAATTTAATTATGTAATAAGTCATGGAGTGCACTTATAAATGTCAGTGCATAGAATCAAATGCTACAGGAGAAATCAATATGCTTTAAGCTGCATTTTTTAAGTGGCGCTAATTTTGACGACATTCTTATGCCAGAGGAAAATTTTAGCAAGTATACGTGAATCTTTAATATTTAAAATCTACATACTTCATAATATCATTGAAAATTTGCGTGTGTCTCAAAGTATTTAATTTTCAAATGAACGGTGCGGTCGCTTCACAACTACTATTAATAAAGACAACGCTGAATGTGTCAGCGTGTGACTTATTGTAATATGTATGTTTTTTTATTAATGCTGCATCGACAATTTAAGATCGTGACACGAGACTGATTATTCGAAAAGATTGACTGTATTGAATCGCGCAAAAAATATAGGGTAATGTAGCTTTAAGGATATTCTTTGTGAGTCCATGACGCGGAGTTATTGTGCTGTAAATAATTATTAAATATCAAAGCCCGTAACCGCGAACTGACGCATTTAGAGTGATTTTGATTTGAATGGACGGCTTGACACCGGCACCGTTATACGGACAAATTTTGTGCACCGATTACACTAATACACAAGTACAGTGTTTGATAACAGTACATAAATACCATTAATTATAGCCGTTCGATGCGAGCGTTCGCGTTCGTGTGTTTGCAGTCATATTTCAACATACCAAACTGATAGGTGTTAATGGTTGAATACTCAAATAACTGTTGTACTAATCGTTAATAAACACGAATATTTCACAAGTCTGATTTTATGATTGAGTATTTGAACTCCAATCGTATCACTGAGTAGTACGTCACAATAAAATGCAATTAAGGCGGTGTGTGTGGCAAATTACCATTGGAGCAAGTGGTCGTTAACCATAATGTATTTAAATACATTGATAATTACCTAATTACTTTAACTTAGTACAATAGCTTTCACTTTGGGTTAAGTAAATTGTGTATGCATATTTATCTTTTTTTCGTATTTACGAATACTATGTTTTGGTGGATTGTAAAGGTACTGAGTTTGGTATTCAGAAAAAAACTTATCGAAACTGAAAAGTTTTTAAGCCAAACACAACAGAACAAATAAAGCTCGCATTAGTAAGGTATTTCAACAGCATTATCACGAATCGCCGTTAAGTGCTCCAAATCTACTAAAGGGTTTTTGACATAAAAAAACTTGACGACTCCTTTTTTCATTCCGGCTGACTAAAGATAAAAAAAAGAAGACGAATATTGGAAAACTAAGAAGCACATCGACACCTGCGTGGCTCAGTTTAGTGCAAGTACCACGAATTCTGGCAGTACAAATATGAGCACGTAAATGTTATCTTCGAACGTGTTACACGGAACTGCACTTTCTACGTCAAATATTTACGTTGGAGTAAGTTAATAGGACGACGTAAATTTTTAGATAACAACTGAACTGCCCTAAGCGTAGATAAGGCATTGCGCGTGCGTCGCCAGTTCATTGCATGGCCGCGCTTTTTTACGAATTATCTCTAAGTTTATCCGCTTCCTGTAAGCGATCCCACAGTAGAGATTTCAAATCGCTTTCTACAGTGAAATGCTTTATTCTATTAATATAAACATGCGTTTAATATATATCTTTACGTTTTGGATACATTACAGGCTCCGTTTTCATGAGTATAAATCCGTTTCGTCCATTTTAAGCACGAGAAAGATATGGAAAAGCATAAAGTTAACTATTGAATAATCTGCCCATATTCCTTTGAAGTTAAAATCTGGAGAAAATGCGTGATTTATAGAATACGATTCTGCAGACTACTAGCAAGCTGCTATGACCTATTGTAACAACAAAATGAAGGAGGCAATAAATAGATGCATCCATCAACTTGTTAATGGCTTTTTTGGTACCAGCATTATGCAAAGCCGTTACATATATTTTTTAAGATTATGTGACACATGTGAAAATGTTGTATACGAGTATGTATATGAGAGGTGTTAAGATTTAGTTAAGGTACACTATTAGTTTTTGTTGGTCTACTAAGCCGTACACATTATTTTTATAGGTAACAAATAAAAAGGTTTTACCTTTTATTTAATAAGATTCATTCTCATCATACGCAACGAAATTCGAACTTCCGCAATGTAAGCGGAATGCCTGGACCACGTGTTTTTTTTTCTACTAAACACTTTCTTAAGATTCATAACAACTAACTAACATCTTCAAGGCCAGAGTGAATAGGCATCTTCTAGGCAGGCGTGTACCATCCTAGGCCACATCATCGCTTTCCATCAGCCGAGACTGTGGTGTTTGACCACAATGCGTTTGCCATTGCCTATTAAAAAGCAAGCAAGGATTTAACATCCTTAAAATTTAAAATATAATATAGCTTCGGTCGGAAAAAGAGCAAGAGTTTTTTGTTTGATTCCAAAGCCATATAGAAAACTTCATTAGATCATATACCAGATACGCTAACCATATTCGAATTGAATTTATTAAGATTTATTCTGCTTAAAAGAAAGCCGATACTTTAATGATAGTTGTAACCATTGTGCTACATTTATAGCAAAGTTACGCAATCATCTGCTTTGTCATCACTACTAATCAATCAGCCATTGAAAATTTGATTGATGATTTAGTATTTAACTGATGATGTGCGCACGAGTTGTTTGCAAGTTTTATATCCGCTGAACATAGTTATATTCAATTAACCAAATAATATATCGGGTAAAGAATTCAGACAATTATTTGCTTGACTTGCTATACCATTTGGATCATCATATTATATCAGTACTTATATGGTAAGAAATGAAGTAGGTAGTTTCAAATATATATGATGCAACTATCAATGAGGATACTTATATACAAAAAAAGCTTTTACTATTTTTATCGCCGTCTATACAATTAAGGTTTAATTGATTTGCCCCAGGGCAGCTATTTCGCAAATAATGCTTTTAGAGGAACACAAATGGTTCTAAAGTTGGACCGTAATAATGTGTCCGTCACAAAAAATTTAAAGGAAATGGATTTGTGACTGTGACTCTTTCTCAATATTACCTGGAAGGAAAAAACAAGAGAAGGTAATTTATGGAAGAATTAGTACTTAATTCTTACAAAATCAAAAAAAACCGTTCCGTTCAAATCAAGAATCTTATTCAAAGTTTTTGTTTCTACGACTTACCAGACTGATTAAATTATTTTATTCAAGCATCATCTCATTCAGTATAACGATTCCCCAGTAATTTATCGTTATTCCGATGGTGGCTCGGTATACCCACGCAAATGCAAAACAATGAATATTCGCCTCCTGAGCAAGCTGTGTATTCGGGACAGTAAAATTGATTGCATCGACACGTAATGAACATTACCAGCGGAATGGAAGTAATTATCCAATGAGCTCACTTCATTCGGAATAAAAGATTTCGAGGCGCGGTAATTACTTAAAATTAATGTTTGACATTGGTTAAAAGTCAAATATACGCGAGGTTTTATTAACGGTCCGCTATGTTGTATTCTGGTATTCGGTACACTTACAACTTCCCGGAATGCTGTGATAGCATGATTCACTCGATGCTCTCCGAGAATGCTGCGAGATCGGAAAGGAGATACTTTTGTATCGATATTAATAAATCGTGTTCACATCAGCTTTCATTTATACCATTGTAAATTAATTCATACGTTTAAATTAGTCTGCCCCAATCCAAACCTCAAATCTGGGTGTTCATGATATTTCACTTTTTGACACAGCCCTGATTATTTAAAAGATAAAATAAATATACTCATCAAAAGAGACTAAGCAACATTAGCTTTTTTGGACTTTTGACCGATTTTTAATCTTTATATTATTTTGTTTATGATAACCAATCTGATTTTTTCTGACTGAAGCAAAAAAAAAACCTTTGAATAAATTATACATTTTATAACGATGATACAAAATATCAACTGCTATGAT